CCCACTGTATATACATTCATATGCCATTAAATGTAGATTATTAACAGATTATTAAAAATTAATATAGAGAACATTTTATAAAGTTACCCCAATTTTGCCTTCAATTAAGTTGTCCTTATTAATTACAAGTCTTTTTGCATTTTTTTATACATCTGTGCTTCTTCATGCAAATATGTCATTCTGTAATTAGATCCAGATTTCACCTATTAGTTGATCAACACCAGCTAGATGGTAAATGCCTAGGTTCTTCAGAAATGCTGCTGATACTTTAAATACTTTAAAAATACTGTTTTTTTTTAATAATAGTTGGTCAATAATTCTGTTTACATCTTCACGTGAATACATAAAATGAGTATGTATGTGATATCTCTGGGTTACTGGGTTACAGGATTTGATGTATTTGTCGAGAAATACAAAGGCAAAGCAACAAAATAACAAACTCAGGTTTTTATTCTAAGTTTGATCTCTCAGAGAATCATAATATTCAACCACTAGAACAATTTTTCTCTCTTTAGGAATGCAAATAAATAACTGTAATTTGTCACTCTAATCAAACTTGCTTTATTTTTATTCAGCTTTTCAATGATAATAACAATAATTATATTTTAGCATTAAAATATAATTTTTTTAAAAGAACTTGGGGGTACTGGTTGTTTTAACCATACAGAAACATACAAAATGATTTCGATAGTAGATTTGTAAAGCAGTGTTAATACAGTAGATGAAAATCTTAAGATATACATGGAAAATGAATGAATACAATGATAAATAAATACAGAAGAAAATGAAAAACTAGTGGTTTATATTACATTTAATACATTAGATAATTCACTAATGTTTGACCTTAGATGTTTCAGTAATGCATAATTTTAAAACTAAACCTGTTCTACCATTTACATACATACTAGATAATATTTTCTGAAGTCAAAAGGATTGTGAGTTTTATTTTTGAGTTTGCCAGCAGGAAATGGGTGAGTAGTCACCTGTTTTTACTTTTATCTTTCACTCACTCGTGGCCCTTGATTTTACTTTGGCAAAAATTGTAGCCTTGACCTTTGTGTGTTTCTGTGAATACTGATGTGTTATATTTTGTCCATCCAGGAACTCCCAAAGCTGCTGCAGGACCTGGCCACTACAGACGCTGACCTGCCGTGGAACAAGTCCAAAAATCGTTTCCCAAACATCAAACCTTGTATGTTGCCAGGCTGAAATTAGTTTTTCAAGGCCGTTGCGCCTACAACGTACCAGAATTCTTCCTATCTCGCATTGCTGTTTGCTTCACTGTGGTCGCATTTCATATATTTAAATTCAGCTGTATTATTATCCCTGTACTGTTTTTAGATAATAACAACCGAGTGAAACTGCTGTCTGAACCTGGCACTGCAGGCTCAGACTACATCAATGCCAGCTTTGTCTCAGTGAGTACCAGTTAGTCACGATTCTGTCAGATAGACATCCACATACATAAGGGTAGATGTAAGCCTCCCCATCTCCTTTTTTCTGTGTCTGTAGGGTTATTTGTGTCCCAATGAGTTCATAGCCACCCAGGGCCCTCTGCCGGGCACTGTGGCTGATTTTTGGAGGATGATCTGGGAAACGGGAACCCGCACTATCGCCATGCTCACTCAATGTTATGAGAAAGGCAGAGTGCGTATGAGAGATTTGTCACTGTTAGAAAAAAAACATCACCGCTATTAGCATTCAGAGTACAAGCCAGTATTTGGGCTTCATTCCCTGGATGCTTATGTCTGCTCTAAAGAGCTGATGTATGTGTGTGTGGGTGTGGGTGACATTTCAGATTCGATGTCACAAGTACTGGCCTGAAGACAACAAGCCGATGTCAGTGTTTAGTGACATTCTCATCTCAAAGGTGTCAGAGGAAGTCTTTCCTGACTGGACTATCAGAACTCTGAAAGTAGAAAAGGTATGGCGCTAATAACCTCCGTCAAGTGAGCATTCACCGGCTACCACGCACACATGCACACTTACAGTGCACACATGACTTGAAATATATGTGTGCATGCAATAGTAATATTAGTTCATGTCAATGATACAGTATTGTTTGGTCTATTTGTGCAAACAATAGACCAAACAATGGGAAAGTGGAGATACTTAAAAAATTGCATGTTTTTACAAGTCACCTGCAATGCTCAGGTTCTGCTCTACTATATCAGTGTTATTTTAATTCTTTGATAAGTGGTTGCTAGGCAACATGGTGCCATTTTATTATTATTATTTTATGAGGATAAATTGGCTTTTTTTGTTTAGTTTAGTTCTTTTATTTTTTACAATTAAAAAAGAAAAAGCAACTTCTCTTTTCTTCAAAAATAACTAATAAGATTTAAAAGAATAAAAAAAAACAAAAAACCATCTGCTAATATGCCCCCACTTCTCCAGCTCCTCTAATGAATGAACCTTTGAAAAGGTTTGCTTTAAAAAACCTTTTCAAAGAATATAGTTTGGTTTATTAAAACAGGCTGAACAATTTACACTTCTGGCAAACTAAAGTACAGGTTTACTGGATTATTGATGAGCGAATAACATGGAAAAACTTGATGAAGAACAAAAAGGCATTAAACTGAATTAAGTATGGATGAAACAGCATCATCCACTGACTGCAAAGACAACATTTTTGCTTTATTAAGGGGTGCAGGTGGAAAAAGTGATTCAGTGATGTGCATAAGGTAGCCATCAGAAGACACTGTTGAATGTAAAGTAATGTTGGGACTCTACCCTTTTCAAGCTAAACTGGTATTTATGTCGAGCTCTTCCAGTTTTATAGGAATTTGGGAGCAGTAAATAATTTTTCCTACAGCCAATAAGGAGAGCTCTAAGTTCAGACTTGTCTTTTGAGACTCTTGGTGTCAAAAGCACTGGTTTCTTAGTAGAACCTGTAATATGAATTTTAAAAGTAATGGTGGCACTGCCCAATTTTGGGGTGATAAATTATCACAATTATCAGAATTTTATGTTATATAAAAAAATATTAAAAAAAAAAATCTTGTAAACTCTATGTAATAAAGCTGAATGATAGGGGAGGCTTTACATCTTTTTAGAACTACATGTGTTTCATAGGAAACCAGAGTGTAGGCCTACTAACCATCTTGTTTTGGTAGTAAGACGTGCAGGCATATTGAGGATGCTCACACAACCGTTTAGTTTGGAATTACATTTCTGATTACATTAAGAAAGTTTTGTTTTGACGTTTCTCCATCAGTAGTTTGATGGCTTGAGAGAGCCTACATCCTTTTAATTAAATTTGTTTATTGTTAGAAAAATAATAAATGTTATCTCTGTTATCACTGAAAAAAATCTGCCATAAAAACAGAGTTTATACTTGACTTCCTGTTATGTGTGTTCCTGTCCTGCAGCATGGGCACTACATTTTGGTCCGCCACTTCAATTATACATCGTGGCCTGAGCACGGCGTTCCAGAGTCTTGCAGTACACTCATTAAGTTTGTCAAAGCTGTCCGAATGCACAGGCAGGACAATAGCACTATTGTTGTCCACTGCAGGTACGCTATCAGCTTCGTGTAAGGGAGACTAACATTGCATGAACTATAGCAAAATATTTAATTTTTGGTCATTAAAATTGAGTCTCATATCAACAGATTATCAATAAATGCTTCACTGTCAGTAATTTCGTATCCTCTTTTGTATTACACCTACAAATAAGACCTAAATCCTTTTGTGTGGTATAACAGTGCAGCTGAAAGTATAATGGCGTTTGCTCTCTTGTATTTTCTTTAGCGCTGGCGTAGGAAGAACAGGTGTGTTTATTGCTTTGGATCATCTTATTCAGCATGTCAGAGATCATGACTTTGTCGATATTTATGGGCTGGTGGCTGAACTGCGCAGCGAGAGGATGTGTATGGTACAGAATCTGGTAAGTTTACCATAAGTGCAGCAGTATGTTATCCTTTTGCATGTGAGCTTCATGGTAAATAGAATAAATATGATTTTTTTATTTATTTATCCTAAGTTCTTCCAATAAACTTAAGAATCATCAAAGACTGACAAATGGAAATGTAGCTGCCCTACTTTTTACTTTGTACCCTGCTGTGATCTCATCCCCATCAGAAGATATTCGGAAAATTTTAGTATTGACAAAGGGAATGATCTGGCGGTGGATTAAAAGCAAGCGCTGAGCAGGATTCCCTCTTTTGAAACAGCTTGAACCTTTCCTATATTTACCCTAGTGTTTACTTGTGGACTGCTGATTTGTCTGTCAGTGCCTGTATAGACTCTCTGCCTGCTGTGGTTACTGTGCTTCTTCTGTGTAATTGTTTTCATGTTGCTAGACTTTCTCCACGTCTTTGTGAACATTATCTGGCTGTGGGATTTGAGCCTGTAGTGTCTGCAGCTACGAGAGCTGTGCTTGCTGAAGGCATGATTCTTTGAGAGTTCAGTTTTCAGTGTGCCAGGCTAGCTATTAGTACAATGCCTGAGGACATCATTCATATTGATTATTTTACAAACTCATAAATGTCCTTGCTGAGACTCTGAAGCAGAGTGCCTTTTTCAGATGGCTTTAAAAAGACACTTTAAAAGTTTTCTACAGTCATTGATTTGAGCTACTTATGTGTTTATGGCATCAAAGGGTTGATGTTGTTGTAAAAGTCAATCAGATTTTGCAAACGTAGTTCCAGTTTCCTATTGAAATAAAAAGACCATGAATGACAATTATTATTAATTACACAAGCCACAAGTACTCAAACCACACATAGGACTAAACAATACACTTGAAATGTCAAAGACTGGGCCTGTACTGGCTAATAGGCTCTATCATTCTGGTGCCTTTAGTTCAGTATTCATGAATTACACAACCGCTGTTAGTTCAAACTATAGAGATAAGGACAGTATTATTTGGAAATATAGTTGGGAAGTATTTCAAGTCCTGTTAAACAGAATAAGGAGTTTTTAACACATTTCCAAACATCCTAGTTTGACTATTGCTAATAGACAGCTGTGTTTTGTGCTGGATAACAGCTTACAGTCATTTACAATCATGTTCCCTGAGCAATCCCAGCCAGCTTTGCTTTGACTAATCTCTCAAATTTCAGTTCACCCCAAAGATTTTTGATGGGATTCAATTTCAGGCCAGTTCACTTTGATCTTCTGGACGTAGTTTTTCACCATGTTTTTGGTTGTCATCTTAGAAGACAGAGCGACAACCCAGAACCAGTTTTTCTGCACTGCTGAGTGCTTGAAGTTTTCTTTCAAAATCCTTTATTTGAAAGTAACGAAACTAAATAAAACGTCCAAAGCAAAAACCACCAAGAGGTGTTGTCATCACAGCCATTAAGATACCAGAGTATTTTTGCACATCTCAAATCATCCATCTATTCATTCATTATTTTAACCACTTAATCGCCACGTAAAGCAGCAAGAAATTTTGAGGAGGGTTGGCCGGACAGGTCACCAGTTCATTATATGGCTTCTCACAGAGATGCAAAGCCTTTCACGCGCAGCCAATTTACATGTCTCTGGCTTTAAATCACCTCTGTTAAGTTTTAGTTCTGAAAAATAAATCAAGTGGTACAATCTTCGTACCACAGCAATTCAAACTTAATCTGCTTTTCCCACTCTTTTGTTAGGACTATATCATTGTTCATATCAACATCTGTTCTTTGTGTGATTAATGCAAAAGAACATATGGTCTGAATAAGCAGAAATATGTCTATGCATATGTGTGCTGTCAGGCCCAGTACATCTTCCTGCACCAAAGTACGCTGGAACTTCTAAACAACAAAGGCAACAGCCAGTCGATATGGTTCGTTAGCTACTCTGCTCTGGAGAAGATGGACTCGCTGGATGCCATGGAAGGTAAATATATGAGGTCATACTTAAAAAAACAAACAAACATGCAGCTCAGTGCTCACCTCACAAGGTTTTATTGCTCTTCAGGTGATGTTGAACTGGAATGGGAGGAGACCACTATGTAAAAAAACTGACGAAGGAACATCTGTGAGATTTCTTTGGGGGGTTTTGTGCGTCACTGTCACATGACCTGTGGGCAGATCCTGGAGATGGAGAGGTCCATCCCCACAAACCAAAGTAAGAGCAACAGGAGATGAATATCTGCACTCAACGATCTGTCTGAAGAACTCCACTCAGTCCACTTCAAAATCTATTCCCAGCACAGTCCTCTTTATATTGAACCTTTTGAACACTTGTTTCCAAAGACACTGCGAGGGAAAAAAGTGAAGAGCAGGGACAAAGAAGTTCAGAAAGGACAGGAATAAATGAGAAATTGTGAGCTGATCGTGAGAGCTCTATCACAAGTGTAAGCCTACAGGTATTTGCACAAATCGATTTCACTGTCTTATTATTATTATGTATTATGTTCATATCATCTGTGTTTTTTTAAGGTAATGTTTTTCAGCCAAAGTGGTGTTGGGGCTTTTCAGTCTCTTTATAACTGTGTTGAGATGTTCGTTATCTTTTCTCAAGAGTGATTTGCAAAATAAAAGAAACAATCAAGACTTTCTCCACTTGACTGTTTCATCAAATGTCTGCACTTTGACGTTGCAGTAGGGAGTTACAAATTAGTGAGTCTTGCTGTTTCAACAAGGGAAGTCTGCAGTAGCTTAATAGCTAACATAACCGTTAAATCCAAGGCTGTGGTTATATACTCACTAGGCACTTTGTTGGATGCATCATTTCAGCTGCATATTAGCACACACATCAGAAACATTTAAGCATTCGGCTTGAGACGACCTGCGGAGGTTCAAACTGAACATCAGAACGGGGAAGAGGGATGGTTTAAATGACTTTGAATGTAGCATAATTGTTGGTGCCAGACGGGCCTGTCTGATAAAAACTGCTGATCTGCTTGAATTTTTCTGCACAGCCCATCTCTGTGGGTTTGCAGAGGATGGTCTGAAAAAGAAGAAATATCCACTGAGCAGCAGTTCTTTGGGAGAAAAGGCCTTGCTGTTACCAGGCGTTCAGGAGAATAACTCAAATAGCCACTCTTAACAATCAAAGTGTGCAGTGGAGCATCTGTGAATGCACCACATGTCAAATCTTGATGTCAAGCCTTGAGGCTACAGCAGCAGAATCTGAGGGCACATGCTCACAAAGACTGGGCAATAGAAGACTGGAAAATACTTTGTTTAATGAGTGTCCGCTTCTCCTGCTGTAGAGTTCAAATTTAGCAAAAACAACTTGAAAACATTGGTCCATCCTGTCTTGTATTAACAGCTCAAGTTGGTGTCTCGTAATGGTATGAGGGATATTTTCTTGGCACACTTTCAGCCTCTTAGTATCAGCTGAGCACCATGTGTATGTGTGTGTCACAAAGCTCATATCATCTCAAACTGCTTTCTTGACAATGACAATGAGTTCACTCTACTCAGATGGCCTCCACAGTCATCAGATTTCAATCCTGTAGAGCTCATTTGGGGTTTGGTGATTCTCATCATGGATCTTCAACTGACAAATCTGCAGCGACTATGCAATGATATCATGTCAATATGAACCATGATGTCTGAGGAATGCAAAAGGACGCTTTTAAGAGATTACTATTGGCCAAATGATAGCATTATTTCTGTAAATGGTCCCCATCTGTAGATATGTGTCTTTTATTACTACAGCACAATTTAGAGCAGATTTTATGGACAGGTTTGTGCATATGGATCAGGTACCTGCACAAGTCATTGGACCCATCTTTGAGAACCACTACAGCAGACGCATATGACATTCAGACACCTCAGATTCAGTGTTACTTTGGGGGCAGGGGGCTTGGTGGAAGGACCTCTAATGAATGAGTTCAGACCAGGTGTGCTGGAATGACAGCGAAACACCGGTCAGACTGATTTCCCATAAGCTCCTTCATTCCGCCATCCTCCCTGCACACCTGCTGCAAATTAATTCATTAGAAAGGCATAGAGTGCTTCATACACAGACACCGTGGAGACGCAAGACTGAGAGTAAAAACTACTTTATTCTTTCATTCTCTTCAAACAGAAAAATTAGAAATTCTTTTAGTAAACATGTTGATCTTTAAGAAATCTCCTTTATAGAAATATTGTGACGGTGCAGAGATTAATGACAGTGCTCCACAGTGAGGATGCAGATTGGTGCATCTCCATGACAACCACGGAGAAGGCAAGGGGTAAGGGTAGAAAAGAGAAGGGGGGAGAGGGAGTAGAGCAAGAGAGAGAAAGGAGAAAATGACATCAACAAAGCAAACATGCCCTGACAATAATAACGAAAACGTAGACTCAAACTCCTCCTGTGTACTGTAAATGAAAAGAACAAAGCGAACAAAAAAAGCAAACAAAAAAAATATGTCATGCGGTATAGTACAAGTCAGAGTTTACAGTAAACAAAGTGGGGTTACTGACTTGAGAAATCAAGCAGTTTCAAAGGTAAGTCTAAGCTTAAATTTGTTGTTGCTTTGGCAGCCGTGTGCATGTTTGCGTGTTTGTGTGATCACATGTGCAGCTGTTTGTTATGCTAGTGTGTGCATGTGTGTGTGTGTGTGTGTGTGTGGCGTGACTTGTGGTGTACTGTACGTATTCACCAATACAGCATAGCCCTTTGCATACCTTTACAAATGACACGCAGCCATCTCTTGATAATCCTGTAGTAACATGACATGGTAATTTAATGGCAAGTGTAGATCTGTAATAATGTCACGTATTCTATAAAAGCTGCCTGTTTTCTGTCTCTTATCACATATAGGACTCCCCCCGATATTAAATGTGAATAATAGTAACTATAATAACTATAATATTCTTTTTTTCTTTTAAACTAGATTTTCTCTGTACAAATACATACGTAGATACACACACTGGGCAAAGCAATCACTTTTTTCAGAATAAATCTATATTATCTATTTACAATATATCCAGTATATTCTGTGGTGCAAAAAGGTACAAGACGTGTTTGGTATGTCTCAGTCGGATGATTCGTGATGTGCTGTACAAACTGGCTCGAAACCATCAAGACAGACGACACGTGAGGAAATCAGTTATTATTCCACGGACATCTTCAGTTTTCCCCCTGATTTAACATTCAGTACACATGTGCATGTCTGCTTATATAATATTTTCATTGCGTAAGGAGAATATAAATAGGTGAGAGGGGAGATGTGGTCTAGTGAGGTGATTTGGGTCAACCCTGTGTAGAGCATTTTACTTCATTTTAATATAGTTTTGGAGGTATAGCTGTAGGAAATCAAGCCTTCTCTTGAGTATGATGGTAGCAGATGGCACTTTGTCTTGTGATGCTCAAAGCACCAAAAATACACATCAGAAAATTAGTAGCAATGTGATTTCTAGAAATCAAAATCCAATTTATCAAAAAATAAATAAATAAAGTAAATAAAAAATTCACTTCGGATCGATTCAAATCTTGTTGTGAGCAGTTTTAATGTGTCCACCCTTTAATGGACTGGCTGCCTGTGCGGTGTGCCCTGCCTCTCACCCTTGATCCTGAATATAATAATGGATGGATGCCTACAACTCAAACTCCAGGAAAGTTCGGACAATGTGGAAAATGTCAATAAAAACACAATGCAGTGATTTGAAAATCTCATAAGCACATTAAAAAACGTGTAAACAAATGTTTATTCTGAGATATTTTATTATTCTAGGAACAATATTACGCTTATTTATAATTTGATGGCAGAAACCCATCTCAAAAAAGTTAGGATGGGATCAACAAAAGGGGAGGAACAGCGTGCAAATATAATACTAAATAAAGGTTAATTGGTCAGTAACATGGCTGGCATCTTAGTGAGGCGGAGTTTCTAAGAAGCAAAGATGGCAGAGGTTCACCGACCTGCAAAAAACAACATCTACAAATTGTGGAACACTTTCAGAATATTGTTCCTTAATGTAAAATTGTAAAGATTATCAATATCTCATCATTAACAGCACAATGGGCCTTCACACAGCACTGCTTTGAAAACAGGCATGATTCTATCATACAGTAAATATCACTGCATGGGTTCACAAATACTTCCAGAAATCACTCTCTGTGAACACAAATTGCCATCCACAAATGCAGGTTAAACAACCATAATGTGAAGATGATCTAGAAAATGTGTAGTCTTCTCTGGATCATTTAAAATGGACTAAGGCACAGTGACGCTGCATCCTCTGGTTTAAAGAGGATAGGACACCACCACGTCTATCAACAAGACAGTGCTACAGCAGGTGCACTAAACTGCAGAAATATTACAACAACACGGCTTTGCTGACACAGAGGTAAACACGGCCATGTCACAACATTTTTTTTAGATGGATTGCTGCCATCAAATTCCTTATCTTTACATTATCGGGGGGGCGGTTCCCTCAATTTGAACATTTAGTATGTTTTCTATGTTATATTGTAGATAATCATATGGGATTGTGTGATCTGCAAACTGTTGCATTATGTTTTTATTAATTTTTTGGGGGGGATTGAGTTGTACATCCAACCAAAAAAGTGTTCAGGTACAAAACATTACAGCTCAGCACCGGGACCTCTTATTTACATCCTATCATGGTTATGCCTCTTGTCATACATGCTCCCTTCTGCCATTTTTTCCACTTTTAGCAGTGCAAGGCAAGTGCTATCTACAGTAACTCCATTACATTCAAAAGAAGGCAGGCATGTCCACAACTGAGCAACTCAAACCAGAAGAAAAAAAATCTAGATGTAAAAACAGCACTATAAAGCATAAGGAAAACATGTATATTTGATTTTTGGATAATGTTTTCTTTTTAGGTTTCCCTAAATCCAAAGGTAACATCCCTATGCACAAGGCAACCTGTTTGGAGTAAATAGACAGGAGGAGAAAGGCTTCTTTTAGCCTTGGTTAGGATAAATTACCAGCCTGGCTCCCTGTTGCCCATGGGTAAGCAGGCTGAACAAACAGTACAGAAGCACTCTCCCCTCAGTACAACTCAGAGGTGCAGATAAAGTGTTACATGTTGCAATGCAGCAGACTCTTTCCTGAGCTGTGTGAGAGCACAACTTCAGAATCACAGCATACAGATACTGTGAGGATATCTGCTATCTGTTCAATTTTAGAAAATCATGCAACAGTGAAGCACCGAATCATGATTGTCATCAGGATATTAATTTAGGATAGTTTAGTTAGTAGCAGCATCCTTGCTTACTACACTAACTCGTAGGTGGTAGAGACGGTACGGCAATTTATCTTCTTTGCCTTTTTTCACACACACTGATTATGAGTTCCCTAGAAAATGGAGAAACAAATAAGCTGGTGCTCTTGTTTCTTCACATTATGCAGAGATGAAGGAAAATGATTATGGTATAAAGTAGTTAGATTAGCTGCAAAACGATCCCTCACTGAGTGTGGTAATACTGAAAACAGGGAGATGCCATGAACATCAATATCCTCAAAGAAAACAGAACCTTCCCCTTTTTTTTAAGATATGTCATGTCTTTTCAGGGTGCTTTTTTCTGACACTCCAAGCTCACGTACACTTGTTGGATAGGCGACATTTAAAAATGCTAAGTCACCATACACCCAACAGCGTGAAATCCAGACAGACAACAACAGCTGCTACCAGGTGACAGGCTGAAGAGAAAAGAAAGAAGAAAAGTCTTTCAGAAATACCATCAAAGCTACTCCATGTTTAAAAAGCACACAGCCAAGTTAAGACTATAAATAAATTCTGAGGAATGCATTTAAGTCACACAATATAATCTTTACTTTACTTTTTTTTTTGCACTTCTTTTGTCTTACTATTCAAAGTAAGCTGACTTGTGCTCCAGCATGTGTTTGTTGAGTGTGAGTGTGCGGATCTTGTCTGGCGCAGGGAGTTTGTTACGCAGCTGATGACCTAAACGATGCT